AAGTTGATCTCCTCTTAGTTGCCTAACTGTTAGTGATCAAAAGTCTAGATCCTGACAGTTTGAAGAATCTCATTGCCCTGCTTGCTTGCACGTGGTCAGTTGTTCCCTGTGGTTATCCCAAATTAATGTAAAACCGGAAGGAGTACGTGCCTCCTCCAGGGTATGAATTCCCAAGCAGAACACCATCAAAACCGCCTGTGTGGCTGTCAGCGCCTCACTGGTGCCACCTACTGGAAACATCAACTTCCCTTTCTTCCTCTAACTTAGAGGTAGCAGATTGGCTCAACTGCTTCGGGGTTTGAACTCTAGTTAGCAGTAAGAAAAGCCAGTTGCCCTTTACAATTTAGCTGAAAAGATGCCAGGAAAGTGGCTCAGGGGGAGATTCCTGTGACACTAATCTCTGAACCCGAAAGCAGGATGGCTCTCACCACTTTAGCCAAGTTCCTCACCAGTGATTTTTGGTTCATCTTTTTTTGGTTTCAAACCAAAGACATTTTCACTTTTAGGGCTTCTTCTGGGCTGCTACTGCTGGGGGTGGGGGTGGGGGTGGGGGTTACTATGTGCCCTCAGATGGGCTCTGACACCCTGTGGACATACACCCGTGTACAGCAGAGCAAAACATTACCCGGCCCTGAGCCCTCCCAACTGTCCCTATGTTTGGACCATTGTTACAGCCACATTGTCAGTCCATCTCGTCAAAGGTCCTCCTCTTTCCCTGCCCTTTTGCTTTACCAAGCACGATGTCCTTTTCCAGAGACTGGTCTCCCCTGACAACATGCCCCAAGTACGGGTTTGCCTCCAAGGAGCATTCCGACTGCACTTTTTCCAAGGAAGATTGGTATGTTCTTTTGGTAATCCATGCCCCACCATAGTCCAAACACATCAGTTCTTCTTGGATTTTCCTTATGCCCTGTCCAACTTTCACGCACATGAGGTGATTGGAAATACCATGGCTTGGGTCAGGTACACGTCAGTCCTCAAAGTAACCCTTCTTGCTTTTCAACATTTCAAGGAGCAGAATTTACCCCATGTAACTTGTCGTTTGATCTCTAGACTGCTGCTTCCATGAGCATTGATTGTGGATCCAAGCAAGACAAAATCCCGGACAACTTCAACCTTTTTTTCATGATGTTTCCTGGGCCGAAGAAACACATTATCTTAGGATATTCCCAGCTGGCAGGAAACAAAACAAAGCAAAACCAAAAACACATCAACTTCCTGAAAACCATCCGTGGGTTTGTTAAACAGAGGCAGTCAAGGCAGGGGAGAAGGGGAGGATAATGTAAGGGGCGGGGAGGTTTTTCTGAACCTCGGCCCCCATAATAGCTTGTCCTTTGGCACAAGTAACATTGCATGGCATTCCGGATTCAATGCTGCTTTGTTCTGAAGGAAGTGGTCACTTTGGGTCAGGTTTCCAGAAAGGGCAGGTTGTAAATGAAGAAGCGTTGTAGGAAGGTTGCTCTTGATTGAGAGCTGAGGTGCACTTCCTCGCAATTCTGCAACTGGAGGAAGGTCCTTCCTGGGGCTAAGCAGTGTCCCCCGTCACCCAAAGGCCCAGAATCAACCCAATCCTTGGGAGGGACATCCTAGCATGTAACAACATGTTGGGAAAACATCTTAAATCAAATCAGGAAATACCTTAAGGAAAACACTTTAATTTACTTGGTGTAATATATATATATATATATCAATGTTCAATAAAAATTTACTTTTATTTAATAAAAACATATTCCCCACTGCCATTGTGTTTGGTTGGGTTCTCTAAAGGAGCAAGCCCAGTGACACTAGTATGTGTCTGTCTAGCACAAAATGCAGATCAAGACATGGCTTGATGTAGAAGTCGAAGTCCATGCATGCAGTCCGAGTCAAGACAGGCTTCGCCTGGCTCATGGCAGTGGATGAACAGGAAGCATGATGATGAAGCAGAGAGAGCAGGGGCACCGGCTGGTGGATGCAGGGGTCCAAAGTCAATTCACCATTGGTAGTACTCTGGCAGCCCCTAAGATCAGTGGGCAACGCAATAGGAGATAGAGGAACCAGATGCAAGAACAGCTTCAGCAAAAGACAAAGGGCCAAAAAGGACTTGATTCTGCTCAGTCTCTCATTCTTAATCAATGAATCTGTCTCTCTCTCTCATACAAAAAGGCTGATGACACCAAGGAGGTGTCATCAGGCTGGGCTCCCATTGAGAGGTTGGGCGCCACCACTACCCTTACCCAGGAGTTGACAGAGTCCCTGCCCATCACAGCCATCAAGTGGGTTCTAACTCATAGTGACCCTATGGACAGTCCCAAGGCTGGAAATCTTTACAGGAACAGACAACCTCAACTTTGTCCTGTTGGGCAGCTGGTGTGTTTGAACTGTAGACTTCATGGTTAATGGTAAAACACTTATTCGACAGTACCACCAGGGCTCTTAAAAATATATGAATAAAATAAAATGTCTTGTTACTTTAAAAAAGAATAAAAACGGAAAATGCTGCTACCCCAATGCCTATGCACTGTCACCAGGTCTGTCAGTCTGTCTGAGGCTGTGGATCTTTACAGGAGCTCTTTCTTCTTTCTCTCAAGGAACTGCTTGTAGGTTCGAACTACTCACCTTGCAGTTAGCAGCCCAACACCTAACCCACTTCTGCCACCAGGAGTCCTTGCTACCCCGACAAGCCCTTTACAATGTTGAGAGGGAAGTTATTTTTTCAATCGTTTTATTAGGGGCTCATACAACTCTTATCACAATCCATACATACATCAATTGTGTAAAGCACATTTGTACATTCATTGCCCTCCTCATTCTCAAAACATTTGCTCTCCACTTAAGCCCCTGGCATCAGGTCCTCATTTTCCCCCTTCCTCCCCGCTCCCCACTCCCTCATGAGCCCTTGATAATTTATAAATTGTTTATTTTGTCATATCGTGCCCTGTCCGACGTCTCCCTTCACCCACTTTTCTGTTGTCCACCCCCCAGGGAGGAGGTCACATATAGATCCTTGTAATCGGTTCCCTCTTTCCAACCCACTCTCCCTCTACCTTCCCAGTATTGCCACTCACACACTGGTCCTGTAGGGATCATCCGCCCTGGGTTGCCTGTATTTCCAGTTCCTATCTGTACCAATGTACATCTTCTGGTCTAGCCAGACTTGCAAGATAGAATTTGGATCATGATGGAGTGGGGTGAGGGGGGAGGAAGCATTTAGGAACTAGAGGAAAGTTGTATTTTTCATCGTTGCTACCTCGCACCCTGTCTGGCTCAGAGAGGGACGTTATTAAGACCAATCATTATTAGGACAGTGGGGCTGTGTTCAAATCCCCTGTTCTTAAACTATTCTCACTAGTGGTGGGAGCTGGGGTGGGGAAGGGGGTGATGAACTTTGGCATCAACAGGAGCGTGAATATTGTATTAGAGCTGCAACTGGTTGGTAGACAGCTACACTGTACACCGCAAACCAACTCTATTTGGAGTCTTGACATCAATCCAGCCTGCATTGAATTTTTCCTGACCATGAACTCCAAAGCTCCATACTCACTGCCATCAAGTCCATTTCAGCTCCTTGGACCCTATAGGACAGAGTAGAACTGGCCCATTGGGCTTCCTGGACTTTTAAGTCTTTATAGGAGCAGGCAGCCTCATTTTCCTCCCTCGGAAAGGCTGGTGGGTTCAAAGCCATGACTTCGTGGTTAGCAGCTCAGTGCATGCCCCATTATGCCACCAGGGCTCTGACCATGAACTGGCCAAGTAAAATGTTTTGCCCTCGGGCAGGGTGTGTTTGAAAGTGGATTAAAACTGCCTGGCCAGGCCAGGAAGGAGCCCTGGTGGAGTAGTGGTTACTTACTGGGCTGCTAGTCAGAGGTCAACAGTTTGAAACTCTAGTGGGTCCTCAGAAGGAAGATGTTGTGGTTTCCTAGAGAGTTATCATCTCAGACGCCCACGGAGCTCTTCCACCCTATCCTATAGGCGGCTATGAGTCGGAGTCCACTCGATGGCAGTGAATTTTTGAGTCAGGCCTGGAACTTGCCTGGGTGTATCCTTGATGGAGAGTGTGGGGTCAGGGCCTCAAGGCTGTGAGTCACACCACAGCAAATCCTGTCAGGCAGGGGTCCTCAAACTTTTTAAACAGGGCCAGTTCACTGTCCCTCAGACCAGACTATAGTTTAAAAAAAAACAACGTTGGGCCAGACTACAGTTAAAAAAACTATGAACAAATCCCTATGCACACTGCACATATCTTATTTTGAAGTGAAAAAAAACAAAGCGGGCAAAAACACCTGGCAGGCCAGATAAATGTCCTTGGCGGGCCACATGTGGCCCGCGGCCATACTTTGAGGACCGCTGCTATAAGGTCTTGATCTGAAATCATTTACATGTCACAATCACGACCCTCCTTTCCTGGTAGTTGTACTTGAGACAGTGATTCATTGTTCCTCCACCAACCATAACTTGGGGACCAATTTCACTTGTTTTCTGCTATTCTACAATTAGGAGCATGGCCATGAATCCTTTGGGCACCATGATTACTTCATACTGATAGTCTTCCTTATCTGGATGGCTTGAAAGTACAAGGTATAATAGCAATCCATTGTCTCTTTTGGTCTTACCCACGCTGTCCCTCTAGCTCTCTACTCCTTTGAAAATGCAGCACCAGGATAAATGATTCTAATCAAGCTGACCCTATAGAACAGGTCTAGTGTACAGGGTCACTATGAGTTGGCAATTATTCAAGGGCAATGGGTTTTCTAAAGTCAGGATCATTCTTTATCAATAGATGAATGGCTCAGAAAATTAGAAAATGCTCTGATCCTCCCAGAAATAAGGGGAAAGGTGTTCTACAAAAAGGCACAAGCAGCCCGGAATGGACACTGATGGATGCCCACCATGGCTTTAGGTCGTTAGCAGGCTGAGTGTCAGGACCAGCCAGCTGGGTCTCCAAGTTGCAAAATCCTGACCCCCAGCAAACAGCTGCATGCAACAGCTAACTGTGATTTTTTTATTCACTCACATGCATTCACAAGTGACTTAGCAGTTTACACCCTGAGCTCCCAACATCCCCTGGACTTCTCCTGAGCGCAGGGTTCTTAGACACTGTCACAGAGTCTAACTGAGTCACCATCACAAACACATCAAGCAGTAGGTGAAGGAGAGGCACCTTCAGACTCCCTGGTTCTCCTTTTGTACAGGAAGGAGGAACGCAGGAGGCAGTTGCAACAATAGTACATTGTCCTCAAGTCAGGTCTATGGAAGGTCCTTGCTTTAGAGGAAGAGGGTGGGAGAGGCACAACTGGAGGCATCCCGCCAAATGCTCTCCCCCTCGGTGGAAGGAATCAAGGAATGTCAAAGCCCTGGTCCACATGCCTGGGTCCTCAGGTGTCTCTGAAGTCTGAGTCTTGAAAGTCATTTCCCATGGAGGACGACATCTGAAGACTTTTCGGTGCTTAAGTCCAGGGAATCAGAGGACTGGCAAATCATACAGGTTTTAAAGATCAAGAGGTAGGTCTCCTTGAACTTCTTTATTTTGCAAGCGTAGACAATAGGGTTCATCATGGAGTTAGCATGGGAGAGCAAGATACCCAAGTATATCAAAACTTCTGATACTTCACCCTGAAAGTAGAGAACGCAGTTGATGATGGATAAAGGCAGCCAGGACAAAGCAAACAAGAAGAGAACCAGGAACAGGGATTTCGCTGTCTTGAACTCGCGTCCATAAAATGCACCCGTCTCTTTGGAGATGGAAGAGTTCTGATTAAGCCTGTTCCGGATGACATAGAAGATGTCAAGGTAAAGGGCACACATGACAACCAGAGGGATCAAAATCCAGATGAAGAAGCTGAAGTAGACCATGTAGTCCATTCTCATAGTAGAACGGAATTTGCATGGAATGTAGGTGGCATTTTGGTTGTACTCCAGGAACGGTTGCATGTTCCAACCAAACATGGGTGTCAATCCCACCAGGAATGACACCAGCCAGCAAAGGCCCAGTGCCAACCATATTCTTCTCTGAGTGGTGACCCTCTTGTATCTGTTTGAAGGGAAAAGAGCCCATAAGTTCATGGCAGGAATTGCTAAAGGGTTGGGAAGATGGAGCTAGCAAAATTATCGAAATTGAGAAGTGAAGCATGTGGTCTCCTACGCATTAATGTCACACAGTGACCGCAGCCAAACTCTGCTGGTTATAAGGACAAGACAGACAGATAGTGATTAGGAAAAAAAATCCAGCCAGCTTCTCTGGGACCTTTCTTTTGTTTTGTTTAAAGATGAACATATTTATTTCCAATATAACTTTAAATTTGTCTTAATGTTAAAAGAACATGCAACAGCATGATGAATAATAACCTAAGGATGAGGAAGACTTCTGTTGGTTTTTTTTTAATGTCCATGGTAATTTTATTTCTTTAAAAAATTTTTAAATCATTTTATTAGGGGCTCATACAACTCTTTTCACAATCTGTACATACATCATTTGTGTCCAGCACATTCGTACATATATTGCCATCATCATTCTCAAAACACCTGCTTTCTCCTTGAGCCCTTGTATCAGCTCCTCATTTTCCCCCCTCTCTCCCTGCTCCCCCACCTTGATAATTTATAAATTATTATTATTTTATCATATCTTACACCATCCAATGTCTCCCTCACCCACTTCTCCACTGTCTGTCCCCCAGGGAGGAGGTTATATGTAGACCTTGTCATCTGTTTGTTTTTTAATCATTTTAAAAATCATTTTATTGGGGGCTGATACAACTCCTATCACAATCCATACATACATCAATTGTGTAAAGCACATTTGTACATTCATTGCTCTCAACTTTCTCAAAACATTTGTTTTTCACTTAAGCCCTTGGCATCAGCTCCTCATTTTTCCCCCTCCCTCCTCACTCCCCCTTCCCTCATGAACCCTTGATAATTTATAAATTATTATTTTGTCATATCTTACACTGTCCAATGTCTCCCTTCACCCACTTTTCTGTTGTCCATTCCCCCAGGGAGGAGGATGTTATATGTAGATCCTTATAATCAGTTCCCCCTTTCCACCCCACTCTCCCTCCACCCTCCTGGTATCGCCACTCTCACCACTGGTCCTGAAGGGATCATCTGTCCTGGATTCCCTGTGTTTCCAGTTCCTATCTGTACCAGTGTACATCCCCTGGTCTAGCCAGATTTGTAAGGTAGAATTGGGATCATGATAGGGGGGGGATCATGATAGTTCCTTTAGGAACTAAAGGAAAGTTGTATGTTTCATTATTGCTACACTGCATCTTGACTGGCTCATCTCCTCCCCGCGACTCTCTCTGGGACCTTTCTAAAGAAGTCCTATCCAGAATGAACTAGGAATGTGAGAACTTTGAGTCAGGTATTTGCATAACCCACTCCTGGCTCCATTTCCAGCCCATTAATATTCATTTAAGTCTCATGGGATTGTCTACCTGGTAAGGAATGGTCTTCTCGCAATATGGCTGCTTGCTGGGCTGTGCACTGTCCTGCTTGACTATTGTGCTTCTCCCACGCTTCTCTACCCGCGCCTGCCCCTGTTGCAAGTGGCATGCATGTACTGTTGGTGCGTGAGCTACGTGAGTCCTCGATGGGGATTCAAAGATGGTGTTGAATCGTGTCAAGAACCTTGGAAGGCTCATCCGGTGGGGAAAAAAAAATCACCATTTCTCCTTCAATCTTCCCTCCTGATAAGATCCTACACAAACTTCCAGAAGGCAACTCCTCATTTTTGAGTCCCCGCTCTTGACTCCATAGACTTCATCTCAAGGAAATCTCACAACAAACGAGCTATCTTTCTGATCATCTTCATTTTATTGATGCTGGTGATGAAAGTGACAGTCGTTAAATCTACTGTGTGCAAGGCATCTTTTTTTAAGAGCTTTAAGTGTGTTAGCCCAGTTAGTTCTACGAGGAAGGAGCGATTACTCTCTCCATTTCGAGGTGAGAAAAGTGAAACACAGACAAGTGAAGCAACGTTACAAACTAGAAGTGGTCGAGCGAGAACTGAAACTAGTGAATCTGAGCTGCACACCTCTGAACCACTGTGATGAAAGAATGAGGCAGAGAAAACTCAACAACGTGCCTACCAAGCCTCAGGATGCTGGGATTTGACGGCAGACTGGTCTGTAGCTACAGCTGGCTTGTCGCTCCTTCATCATGCGCTTTCCCTAAGACGGACACCGTGAAGGATCCCTGGGGTGTTGGAATTTCTCCATTTGGCGATCTGTTCTCTTTCCTTGTCACACAAAAGGCTGGCACTACTTTCAAATGGAGGACTAGCCCGGGAAATGGTTCTCACGATGCAGAGGGAGACGAGGAAGCACGTTCGCTGCTGCCATCAAGTGGGTTCTGACTCATAGTGACTCTGCATTGGGTCCCTACGACGGTGAATCGCTGAGGAACAGACAGCCTCCTTTCTGTCTTGCAGAGGGGCCGAGGGTTTAAACCATTAGCCCTTCAGTTGGCCGTCAGTCCAGAGCCTAACCTATAGCACCACCAAACTAGAGCGAAAACAAACCCCTCCACGGTCAACTCCAACCCATGACATGTGTGCTAGTGGCACAGCGGTTACATGGGCTGCAAGGCCCAACTGCCGGGCCACCGGTTCAAAACCACAGGCCATTTGTCAGAGAGGCGAGACTTCCTACTCCTGTAAAGAGTTACAGTCTTGGAAGTCCAAGGGGCAATGCTACCCTGTCCTGTATAGTCACTGTGCTAGCACTACCAGTGGTCCATAAACAGACATGAGAGTGCTTTTAAAAATTCATGGGGAAATGCCATTATCTTTGAATTCCATTTCTCCACGAAATTTTTGAAGCCCTTTGCATATTTATTCTGAGGTTCTCTTGATCAAGATGGGGATGGGCACAGAACAGGAAGCCAACTTGAAATAATAACCTATATTTGGTAGATCATAGAACCATCAGCTTTATCTCTCTGCTTCTTATCTAGCAGGCTCCTATCATTTCTAAAACCCAATAGCATTTTGCTGTTGAAAGTTGCATCATATTTTCATCATCTTTAGCTACCCTGGGGAAGCAAATAGGCCCCGTTAATCAGTGGTGGTGGATAATAAAGCATTCCTATTACTGATTTCTGAGCCTGGGCTCATATTCATCAACTCCTCATAGGCCAGATAAACCAAACTCATGCCTGTTGAGTGGATCCTCACTCATCGCAGCCCTGAGCACCAAGTAGACAGCTTCAGCTTTCTCCCTAGGAGCCACTGGTGGGTTTGAACCACTGGCCTTACAGTTGGCAGCTCAATCCTCAGTGACCCTATAGAGAGAGATTTTTTTTGTTTTCATTTGCCCCTTTTCAAGTTCAGGGGCCAATTTGGGTTCTTTTACACTTAAAAAATAAAAGGATGAGCTCTGAGTTCGGTGGCCCATTTCCCAGGAACTTTCATCAATACGCGCATTCCACCCTCTTCACACAGGTTACCTGACAGTGAGCTTGACCCGCAGGTATCGGTCCACAGCAATGGCCAGCAAGGACATGATGGAGGCATGGGTGAAGATCAGCAGCAGACAATTCATGAACAGGCAGGTGTAGAAGTGGATTGTGATGCCCAGGCTGATGACAATGGCCAAAGGCATGACCAGTATCCCAACAGCAATGTCAGCCAGGGCTAAGGAAACGATGAAATAGAAGGTGGTGGTCTGCAGGCTGGAGTTGAGTTTGACCACCCAGATGACCAACACATTTCCCACGATGGCACAGAGCCCAATGAGAATCTCCACGGTGATGTAGGTAATGCTGGACAGCGTCAGGGCCATGCTGGGGACAGGTGTCTTGCTTTCCCACAGGAGCACAGCTGAGTCAGCTGGATCTCCGTGAGCCTATCTCTTGCCAGACATCTTCCCGGAGGGCAAGCACAGCAATTGGCTGAAACTCCCAGCTCTTCTTGTCTGCTCTGGAGGGATGCTCTTTCAGAGACAGCCCCCTCTCTCCTTAGATGGTACCCATCACAGGGCAATCACTTGCAACGGCAGCCAGTCGGGACCACGGATCCCTGCGTTGCTGGAAGCCTGGGGGACAGTTCTCGAAGGTTGAATCTGAAAGCCCTGTGGGTCTTAGTTCCTCAAACAGACGTACTCAAAGTCCCAGCCTTCTGTTCCCTCCGAGAGTTCCATCAAGATAAGCTGCGCTCTTTAGGGGTGTTTTAGGAAGTGAGATGGGCCAAGAGGAAGTGCAGAGCAAGAAAAACTCAACGAGATGAGAGAAAAAGCAGAGGAGGGGGTGGTGCGAGTAGCATGGTGGAGAAGGCTTATCATGAGATCGCCATCTATTCAGGGGCTAGATGCAAGCTCAGCAGGGGGGTGGGAGGGGAGCTGCAAGTCTGCCTACGGAACAGTCCTGCTTTCAGCTGACTTAGCAGAAAGATCCCGTGCAAGGGATGAAAATGTGGAAAGAGGAGGAACAAAAAAGGCACTTGATCCTAATCTTGGCCGTCTTCACACACCAGCGAGTACTGAGAATCTGGCAGCTTGAGTAGCAGGCTTGTTTGCTGAGGGATGCTGACGCCCAGCCCGTGCACCTAAGAGCCTTTGCTCAACGGGTAAGAGGGAGCCCTGCTCAGGAGAGCAAAGACCTCACCGCTTCGCATGAACATGACAGGTGTAGTAGACCTTCGACTCTCCTTTCCAGCTCCTGTGCCCAACAATCTCACCTGCCTTCACATTTATTGTTAGTGCTGTCAGGTTGGTAATCTTTTGAATAACAGCCCGGGGCATTGCCCAATCCTGCACGATCTTTGTCTTAGCCATCCCAGGGAGGGCTCCTCTCATTTCGTCGTCCTCTCTCCCCACCACTCATGATGGCTTTTCCCAGCAATTGGTCTCCCCTGATCACATGGCCCAAGTAAGTGAGCTTAGCGGTCCAAGCCACCAGCCACTCCTTGGGAGAAACCCGGGGCTTTCAGCTCCTGTAAAGAGAGGTACAGTCTCAGAAACTAACAGAAACAGTTTTAACCTGTCTGACAGGTTTGCTTTGAGTTGGCATTGACCCAATGGCAGTGAGTTTGCGTTGAGTTGGCTTTAAGAGTCATTCCTTTTTCTGCCCTTCCCATGAGCAGCCAGCACAGGGCAAACCGATTTGAGGCGCAGCAGGACCAGGGCAGCCAGTCATGCATCTGGGAGGGAAGAGGCAACGCAGGCGCGTAATCGCCCGGCGTACCTCTTTCCCTTACAGGAGCCACGGCCTCTGCGTGGGATGCAGATCCTTGTTTCTGAGGAAGAGTGCTCCCTAGCCAGCACTTTTGGGGCCCCAGACCTTTGAATGTCACTGTTTGTTGGGAGCCATGATGTTCAAGTGCTTCCTGGGGTTCCCCCTAAGGCTTACTTTAACCAGGCATGTAACAGAGAGAGCACGAAGGACTAGTCAGAACTACCCCCAGGGCTCCAGTCCTGTGACTGGGGTGCACTGGGCAAATCTGCTGCAGGGGACACTCTGTGGAGTGTTACAAAGCAAAGATGTCCCTCCGAGGGTGTAAGGGCACCTGATCCGAGCCGTGGCACTTTCAGTAACCTCGTGGCACTTTCAGTCACCTCGTGCGGCTGTACAAATGGGACAAGGACTAAGGACGCCTGCAGAGCCTGCAGATGAATGGAGACATTCGAATGATGGTGCCGGAGAAAAACACGGAACGTCCTAGGGCCTGCCAGAAACAAACAGGCCTATCTCAGGGGAAACACGGCCCGGACGTCTATGGGGATGACAGGCACGAACTGTGGCGAAGGGAAGGTACCAATCCATCCGAGGGAGTGGGGAAGTCAAAGGAAGGGTTGGGGCAAGCTACTGGGAAGGTTGATAAGTTGTTTCAACTGTTGGATACCATTCAATGATGATCTGAAATGTAAAACCCCAATCTAATACACAATAAAAGTTGTGTATTAAAAAGGCTCAGGCTTGCAGGGTATCCAGTCGACTGGCCAGGGTGGCCAGACAGGCCAATTGAGAGCCTGACTGGTGCCAATGAACCATTACACCATCCTCTCTAGACATGTATCTTGAAGGTCACCTTGGTAGAGGACTCTTCATGTCAGCTGGGATCAAATAGTCAAGAGAGGGGTGGGGATGTTGACTACTCAAGAGTTGCCCTACAGAGTTATGACGAGAACTCCCCCGGACAGGTGGGCATCCCTATCAGAGAGGGGTGAGGGATACTGATGGGAGAGTCAAATCAGCAGAGGGGAAAGGGCACAGACATGTCTGGGAGAACACACGTGCATGACTGTTGGTAGATAAAGGAGGAGAACTGACGTGTGTGTGTATGACAAAAATTACTTTTCAGGACCCTAAGGAGGGAGTATCCCTGGAAATATGCTTTGAATAAACCACACTGGCCCGAGTTTCTGAGCACATCCTTGGGACCCAGGCCAAGGGCCATAGAACACTGGGGCACTGGATCCTGGATCTTCAAGCTGCACAACACGTTCCAAAGGCCGCAGCAAAGAGATCTAATGCAGAAACTCCACTGGGTGAACTGGGCTCTACCTCAAACACCTGGTTGCATCCCATTTGAGCTGAGCCAGGAAAGCAAGGAATGGGCTTCCTGTCTGAGTACCATCAAAGAGCGGTGAGGTGGATAGAGGGGTAGGACGTCCAGTCTGTGAGGGACTGAAAAAGGGGACACTTTGGGGGCCACCCACCTCTCACCTCTACCTCCTCCCCCAGGAATTCTATGTCCAGAATCCTCCTCTGCCCATGCCCTGAATTTCTTTTCTGTGAACAGGGGAAGCCCTTCCTTACATTTCGGAGAAAGCAGCACACCCTTCACTGCTCAGGTAGGGCGATTTGAGAAGTAAGACGGGAGGCTTCCCAACCACCTGACCTTTAGGCCTCTGACCAGCTCTGGGAATCAATTTTACTCTAACTGGAAACTAGAAGGTAATCTTGGAAAGAGAACAGAGAAACCAGCCGGGCAGCCACCTTGCTGATGTACCTGCGTCGCCCTCAGCCACTCTGGGTTCCACCATCATCTCCTCTCAAGGGGATGACCATCTGGGCCCTGGGCTTGAGTCTCCCACCTGCCTCGAGGGCTGGAATTATTGGGCTCCAACTCAAACCTGAGCACACTGCTCTCCTCCTGAGAGACCTCTCAAGCCCCCATGTTGGCCTCTGGTTCAAGTCCAGATTCCTTGCAATGGTTTGCGTGACCTTCCCGGGTGGGGTCTCCCAGACTCTACAATCCCCTGCTTTTCACCCCCCAAAATGGTCCAAAGCTCCAACTGGGCTGAACGCCCAACCCGTGACTCCTCAAAGGATTATGCAGGTCCACATTCTCTCCCCTTTGCACTGTCTGCCTCCTTGGTTCAAAGGCCTTGCTCTACCTCATCATCTTTGCCTCACTTTCCCTACAAGATGGCTCTCCCACTGACCCTGAAGACTTCCCACACAGCTTCCCCTCCAGTACAAATTCCACTGAACTGCATTTGCAGAACCCCTCCACATAGTTCCTGGAAGGTAGGACCCAGGGCCTTTAGTTTTTGCATTCCTCTCTCCTGCCCCAGTGCCCGGCAGATATCTTGTAGGTGCTCAATGCATTCAGACAAACAGATGACTAGGAAAGCCCCTCAGTGCACAGGGTAGCATAAATCTAGCCCTGGAGAAAGGTACACACACAGGTGAACCTGAAATTGACAAGTGGGATCTACTAAGGATACAACACCTGTGTGCACCAGAAGATTTCACCAAGAGGATAACAAGGCAACCCACAGACTAGGAGAGGAATTTTAGCACTTACACACAGACTGTGTTAGTCTGGGTACTACAGAGAAACAAATCCACAGAAACTCATGTATAAGAGAGAGTTTTATATAAAGGTTAAGTGTGCATCAAGAAAACATCCCCCCCCAAAAAAAAAGAGAAAACATCCCAACCCAGTGCTGCTCAAGCCCACCAGTCCAACATTAACCCATATGTCTGACACCAATCCACAAAGTCCTCCTCCATCTCACAAAACAGATGCAATGATGCCGACTGCAGGAGGAAAGCTGAGTCAGTGAATGTGTAAGGATCTCAGTGCTGGCAGGGGTCTCCACACGGGTGCTCCAGCACCCAGGGCTGCATCAGGGTAGGTCCATGTGACTTATCCTTAGGGATGTCTTGCAGGAAGTGAGCTTTGCCAGCTGAAGCAGGGAACAGGCTAAGGCAGCTTCACCCTGGTCCGACCATCACAAAGCAAGAGACCCGAGAACTAGAAAGGTGAGGCTCACTGAGCCATTTATCCCTCTGCCCTTCAATTAACCCCACATGTGTTTATTGGCCAATAAACTAACTACCTCACAGCCAAAGGGCTCATTACTAAAATCTATAATATCCTCATGGTTTGCAAAAAGAGGAAAACAGTTAACCCCCTGAGGAATTGGGCAAAAGAACTGAAAAGAAGCTTCACTAGGGAAGAGACCTGTATGGCCAATAAACATATGAGAAAATGCTCCTGATCATTAGCTATCTGATTTGCAAATTAAAACAACCCATGAGATACCATCTAACACCCTTGAGGTTAGCCCAAATCAGAAGATCAGAGAGCAACAAATGTTGGAGGAGTTGTGGCGAGACAAGAACTCTCTCCACTGCTGGTGGTCATGTAGATACATACAACCTCTGCAGAAAGCAATATGGAGATATTTAAAGAAAACAGAAATTGATCTACCTTATGACCCAGCTATCCCTCTACTGGGCATATACCCATAAGAGGGAAGAAATAGACCACAACCAGTTGTCTGCGCTCCAATGTTTATTGCGACACAATTCACAATTGCAAAGAGCTAGAAACCTAAATCTCCACCAGTAGATGAATGGATCAGTAAACTCTGGCACATACACAAAATAGAGTACTAGGAATCACTAAAAAGCACTGATGATCACATGAAATATGTCGTTTCACGAGAAGAGTTGGAGGAAAATATGTTAAGCAAACTCAGCCAATCACGAAAGGCCAAGTCCAACATGAGTCCCCTGAGGTAAGTATAATCAGTACAGTAGGGAGAGAAGACAAGCCACTTATCTCACACTATACAGATGGAGGTACAGACAGTTGGG